AAATCAAATCAGCTGCTCTACTGATACTACCTGTTCAATGTACCTTGACTTCAAGTATATACTACATATACAAGCGACGTTAGCTAAAATAAATAACACATAAAATAAATCCGTATTAAAGACAGATTGGAAATTTCTATAATCAGACAATAAAAGAGCTAGAAAACGAGGTTTTCTCTCTTTCGCCTACGCGATTCAGGTACAAGATTAATGCATGTCATGCGCTCTGGCTTTCAAACCTGGGTAACGACCAGCAAGACCCACCAGACTGACGAGTAACTGCTGCAGGTCGCTGGATATGTTCATAACGAGCGCGAACACTAATAAATTGCACCTGAAAGGGGCAAACGGACATCTCCCTACGCTCCTCTCCCCATGGCTAAGTAATTCCAAGCACTACTCCCCCGCCTCACTTACAAATCACCAACGTCTGGTCTAACATCGACATGGGTTCAGAAAAATTGACCAACACCGCTCAAATAACAAACGACCTCAATCAGAAGCGCCCTTTGTTCTTACCAACTCTTGACCTGTCCAATGTCTTCGACACAGTCCACCAAGCCATGGAGACATCGCCTCATCGGCAATACACATCAGCACGAAGTAATGGGTGTCAAATTATGTAGTTGTGCAGCAGGAAATCATCGGTGTCATTCAGACGTAAAACATTTAAACCAAGGAGAAGCCCACACGGAGTACCACAATATGACGAACTATCTCGTATGCAATTCAATATATACATATCTAACTGTACGAACTCCAGTATCCGCCTCAGGGAATCTCGATCATCTCCTTAGCAGCTGACATTAATAACTACTTTGGGACGTTCCCACGACAGTCGGGTCTACGTAACCGGAACGACCAAGATTTATATCTGGCCAAGGACTGTCACTCCAGCAACACTCCCCAAAAAGTCTTTGGGGAATTTGTATGCTGCTACAACAACAACAACTACTTTGGGAAGGTCAACCGCTGCAAAATCTACGGACACCTTATTCACCAGCTAAACGAAATAGGTTAGGCTGCACTGGATATAGAGGAGGTCGATGGCACAAAAATACCAAGTAGGACGCCCTCCACCTTATTCTCTCGTGACTCCACGTGACACAAGAGTCACGCTGGCCCAACTCCGGTCCAGTAGGTAAAGTAGCCTCAATTCGGACATAGCCTCAAGAGAAACCGCGCGCTTCTTAGGGCTAAGGCTGCAAGAGTCGGATGGAGAAGAGCTTAGCGCTCAAAGAACCAAATAAGGCAATAGTAGATACGGTAATTGCAAAAGCTTTGCCACAGAGATTTTTGTTGAAGAAAAGACAAAGGAACAAGACCATTTCAGAGGTACGAATTTCTGCGATAGTGTGATTAGCTGGACAAAATTTTTCAAACTGGAGGATCAAAAAAATTACACCTGATGAAATACTATTGCAGGGAAGAGTGGTTAACCCAGAGATAATTTAGGTACGCCTTCTAAAGTGAAGCCATTCTAAAAGACCTACCCAAGAAGGGTTGAACAAAGTGCTTCCCAGCGTGCCTTCTAGAAGTGCTTTTTCTTCTATTTACAATTTACGCGAATATTTTATTATTATATTACTTATTATTATATATTATAAACTAATTTAAATATTCATTTTAGATTCCAATAAAACATATTTGATATGAACCTTAAATAAATATATGTATTTAAACCTTAAAGAAGTATGATTTTTATGAATTAAAGATGCGGCTACAACGACCCCGCCCAGATTGGTTAGTCCCTCAATGGAAGCGAAAGGCCCAGAAAGCGTGCAGTCTCGATGGGATCTGTCCACAGGGACAGGGGCGTTAGCTGGGTGGGGCTTTGAGGGCATGCGTTGGGCACATCCTCGTTTATTCTGCTCAGGTACGAGTTTAGCCTACTGCAATAGCCAGAGCCAAGTTGGGCTATTGTGGTGCGGGTCTCCCGAGGCAGACAAAGTTCTGCCACCGTTGAGCAGAAAAGGAGCTGCCCTTAGACGCAATGGCGCGCGATTTTCTAATTAGGAAACCCGGCAAAATTTAGAGTGACGTTGAACTAAATTTTGAGGTCCGAACGGCCGTAACAGTTGGCTTGGTGCAGTGCAGCATTTTCCAGCATAAAGAAGGAGGCAAAAAGAAATTGGTCTAGGTAGATATAAGAAGTACATATTAACTGTTAAGTAGACGCCCAAGTATCCTATCCCTACTTAATTGGAAACAAAGAGTGTTCGGAAATCGAATCAGTTAACTAAATTTAGTCTCAATGGGAAAGCAAAGGATGTGTCTCAGTAGTGGGACATTTTCACAAACGATTCGGTGAGTGTGATTTTAGAATTTTAAAAATAGATTTCTAATAATCGTGCTCAATTTCTTAAACATACGACATACTTTTAACTTTTTTTTACTAATTTATATCAATCGGTTATTTTTGTTTTAGCTGTAACCTGATTTATATTAATCCTCAAAATTTGATTAAAATTTAAATAGTATATTTTAATATAAACGTTTTCTCCTAGCGGCCAAACTGTTCAACAAATTTACGTGTGTAAAAACTCTCTTTCATTCAGATACTGATGCCGAAACTCAGCAAAATTACATAAAACAGCAAACTTCAGTAACACAATTAAATATTTGAAAAAGGTATGTAGTATCGAAATTGATAGAAATGAAACTACGAGATATTTATAATTAAACATAAAATTGAGTAAAACACAGGAGTTATTTACCACAAAATGTTAAAATGATTAAAGCAATTATTTACGCCAATTAGGTGTTACAACATGTTAGGACAACATAAACTGTGCAATTTTATAATTTTGAAAAATTTACATGCTGTAAGCTCTAAAACAAAAACTTCTAAAAGCAAGTATGATTAAATAAATAAGAGGAAAATGATGTTATTTTTAGTGCAATTAAACCAGTAGTCCATTTTTAGTATTTAAGGCTTCAGCATAGCCTTTTGAATGAGTACAAAAGTTTTTTCATTAATAAAAGCAAGGTAAAATATAGAAAATTTATATTTCAACTGCGTGTAATACAATACTTTAAAAGCGGCGTTATTTAAAACCAACATTTTCGGTAATCGATTTATTTGTTGTTGTTTTTTGGGAAAGTGCGTCAGTGTAGTGCTGTAGAAAATAGCTTCGCATCTTACAGGAATTTCAACAAATGTCGCTATTTCAAAATCATTTAGCGCATCAATCCGTTTTTTTATGTTTTGTAAAGACGTACGTAGCACGATTTCTGTTTAGACAGCCTTATTAAAATGTGCATTTAAAAAAATACTTTTTTGTTTTGAATAATTTGGAATTTGCATGACTTAAATTTCTTGATTGGTATACAACGGGTAATCTAAATTTCTCGCTTAATATTTGTGCAAAATACAAAAACCTAGTTGTATTGGAACAAAAATTTGGATACAGAAAAGAGTATAGAAGATAAATCATTTAAATTTGTAGATAAATATTGTTGAAAAGTAAAACCAATTACATATTCAACCAAAAGAAAGGGGCAAGCTTCGAAAATGAACTACGTACCCATGCAAAAAGCTAGTCAAACTGGAGTCAACGATGGCATACCGATTTGTGACAGGCACTAAATCTTTATCCAGCATCGCCACAGCGGTCACATGCCCACAAAATTGTGCGTAATGTGCATGTGTCAATGGTGAACAGGTGTTCAGCAGTATTGCAAGACCTGAAAATTACATTTAAATTCGTAAATAAAGATTTGACTATTCTTGGAAATTTGTATTCACCTAAGGGCTTAAGCGATTTAATATGCGCCTTCCATTCATGATCATCAAATTCCAAACGGAAAGGACAGTGCTGATCGTGTGTAAGATCAAGCACTTCGGCTACAATGCCACCATCCTTACTTTCTGCCTGACTTGTTCGGTTGCTCTCCGTGTTCAGTGTTGAACAACTAGTACTTCGCTCATCCAAGCGCTCATCTTCCGTTTCATGTAAGAAGAAAACCTTCTCGGCTGTCGGATTTGGCCATGAAAGTATGCCTTTCTTGTCTATACAACAGAGTGCCGTGATGGAACCCAAAACCTGAACTAAATTCGATGAGCGCGGTAGAAGCTCACTTTCACCATTCCATAGTTGCCACCAATTGCGGAAGACATTTGAACGTAGCAGCGAAATGTTATCATAGTCAAAGGTTGGACTGTCCAAATCTTCTTCGAATGATTTTTCGGAGTCTTTGGTGATAAGAACTTGTGGTATTCTGAGAAAGCACTGCAATCTTGCGACCCCCCACAAATTCATTGATATCCACATGATGGGGAAGATGAGTGGAAGTAGTGGTATCACGGCGGCTGCGGGTGTCTCTAGGAAAACGTATTTCCAGTAATGTTGCTCATCGGGATGCCTACCCGCACTAGGCGAACTGCTTAAACCATTTATGCGCAATAGACCGGCGAAAAGTGTCAGACACAGGGCACATATGAATCCCCATTGTTGGATGTACTTCGTCACCAGCTGCATATAATAAAAATCAAAGATACATTTGTTAACAGAATAAAATAATAAATCTGACCAATTCGAGATCGAATCTTTGGTATTTTCTTTTCTATAAGTAGACAATTTTTCCACTTTAACTAAGTAAGTCCAGATCATAAATTGATTTATCTTTAGGATCGCCGTTTCTGTTTTATTTTTACAAACTTGCGATTTTGTTTAGTTTAATAGTCGCATTTGCAAAAAGAAAACGGTAATATCACATTTACCCACCAAATAGCGCTGCTGATTGTAAATTGTTGATGGTCGTTTCAAAGAGTTCTCTAAAATAACACGTAAGTTATCCAGAAAGGGCGTGGTCTGCAAGCTACATACTAAATCAGGCAATGGTGCTCGCGCCAATGGGCGCACTGGAGGATCATTAACTTGTGTTGGACCATAGATTTCATGCATTTCAAATGTGCGCTTGCCATTCACCTCCGCACATGGGCCGGGTGTTATATGTCCCGGCCGTAGCACGATGTGATCGCCCCGTACTAGTAGGGCCCACGGCAGATTTACAATATTACCATCGCGATATGTCCACTGCAGCGACACGCAAGGCGAAATTGGACAACAAATATGCGGATAATTGCATGGTTGCCACTCGCCGCATAGATCACGTTCAGCGAGTCTTATATCGGCGAGTGCCTGGCGTGTCTTGCGGTAGATTTCGGTACGACGTAAATTGTTCTCGCGCACCACCACGCACAAATCCAATGATAAGATAGCCGCAACACAGATCGCAGCCAGATATGCGTCGGCGATTAGTAGCGCAATCATAGTGAATAGAGTTGCTGTGATTGCAGGCCATCCTAATGGTGTGTCGCTGGGTTTGACGAATGCCGAACGCAGTTTGCGATAGAAGCTGCAATGAACAACAACAAGAAATTTTGGAAGCAATCCAAATATTATTAATAATTAAGTATGCTAACAGGCAAACAATATGTACACACATATATACATAACTTTATCTTGACTAGACTAAACACACGCGCGTATATCATGTGTGTATATATGCATATAGTATACCCCTTGTACACTTACCTCTCCTTGGCATAGGTGGCTTCATGTTCCCGCAACAACTTTTCTATATCATCATGCAGACGAGCTAGTGCAACTCTCGTGGTTAGGCCATAATTGGGTTTTTCATGGGAAGCTCCTTCACCTAACGCATTTGCGTTTGTAGATACGGCCTTTCGTTGTGACTTCACGGACATCGTTGCTAGAGGCTAGAGTGTGCTTGCCTAGAGTTTACATTGAGAACTGCTGCAAACTGGAATTCCAATTTTTGTTTAATTTGCTTTGGTCTTTGTCCTTTTTTATCGGTCACACACTCTACTTTAATTGCATTTTTCGGCGATTTACTCCAAACACAAATAAATTGCTAAAATTCGCGATGAGAATAAAATCAAAAAGTCAACAAACAAAAATAACAAACGTCAAAAAACTGTCAGCTGTCAAACTCCCTGGAATTTTTCTGGAATGCACTACCGGAAATCATAGGAATGCACTACCGGAAGTAAAGGGCAAATACTGCAGAGATGCCGTTACATTATGGTAAAATTTTAGAAAAATGTTTCATGGTGAGTTTTTCAAACGTAGAATGTAGAATATAATTTTGACGCAGAAAAAAGTCTCATATCTGTTCCTGTACTTGTACATAGCTAGCTATTTCACCGCACCTAAATCAAATAGCGCCAGTTACCGCTCTATTCCAATGCCTCTGACAAAACTCATAGCATATCAATAACTCGAGGCCTTTCCCAACGTAAAACCAGCTCTCGCGCAAATGTGAAAACCATCTGAAACCCGAAAACCGGTTCCTCTGCCGTACTTTACGGTTCTATTGCCGTACTAAATGCATTTCCAATACCTATACCTATCAGTAATCTAAGTTTCTCTTTTGGAAGGCTGATTAGTTGTCGGAATCTCTTCATATTATAACCCTTCAAAAAACTCTGTGCTTGAGCTTCGCTAGTTAAGTTCCCTCAGTGTGTCTCTCTTTTCTCTGAGCTCTTCCTTAGTATTAGGAAGTGCTCCGTGTCAGTTGGTGTACAATTTACTGCCTCCATTGCAAGACAATCTTCTACATCATTTTCCTGTGTTCTATTTTGGCCTGGTACAAATAATATCGAATATATTCCATATTTCTTGACCTTGTACCCTTGCTTAATGTGACCAAGCGTACTTATTTCGAAAGTACAGTACTTCGTACTTCGCAGTACCGTCAAAAGTACTTCTTTGCAATATTTTGTACTTCAGGTTCTGAACTACTCCGATCTTCTGGACTATCGTCACATGGCCTGGGCGATAAATTCGTTCAATCCCTGCAAGTCGCCGGGGACCGACGGCATCATAACTACGCAGCTGCAAAGGACTCTCCAGGTATCGTGCAATTGGTTGGCTCCTATTTATGCGAACTGTGTGAGGACCGGGTACATTCCCAAGGCTTGAAGGGTAATCAGTGTTGAGTTCATCCCGAAGGCCGGAAAAGACCCTCATGTTTCCCCTAGTGATTTTAGGCTTAACAGTCTGTCTTCGTTTTTGCTGGAAACGCTAGAGAGACTGATAGACCTGTACATAAGAAACGCTAATCCTCGTGACTGTCTTTCAAGAGCTCAACACCCTTATTGCAAGGAAAGGTCGGTGAATTCTGCCCTGCACACATTGGTAAAGTGGTTAGAGGAAGCCTTCGCGCATATAGATTATGGAGTAGGGGCCTTCCTCGATATCGAGGGGCCTTCCAGAGACAATGGTCAAGGTGAAAACAACATAATAAGGCCCATCCACAGCTTATTTCGTGACAGAGCTGACGCGGTAAAGTGGAGGAGCGCCTGCTCTCAGCGCACAGTCTCTCCCATGCTCTGCATTGCGGTTGTAAACGACCTTCTAGAGGAACTGGAAAAAGCGCGCTGTTGGGTGATCGCTAAGAAGATGATTTGCAACTTGAGGCGATTTATAGACACTCTTTTTGTTCTGGCTCAAGGTTACCTGCACCCAATTCCCAGCAAGACGGAACTGGTATTGTTTACGAGGAAGTACAGATATCCGTTGCGGCCCTTACATCGAGTAGGGGTGTTCCTCTGCGGCTTTCAGACAGGGTCAAGTACTTACAGTTGATCCTGGATAGAAAGATGTAGAAACCTAATACTGAGGAAAGGGTTTGAAAGGCGTCGGTTATATTTTACTGCTGTAGGGGAGCTATCGGTAAAAGGTAACGTCTCTCCCCTGGAGTTCTCACAATGGATCGCCCTTATCGCTACTCTGGAGGGCTTTGACTTCGCCCCGAACACATTGATTACAGCGCCTCCGAAAAGGCTACCAGAATTTCCTTCTCTACCCATATTCCCTCAAGAGAGGACCGGGTAGGGCGGGGTTACTCGAATAAGAGAGCGGTAAACTTCTTCACGGACGGATCAAAACTTAGGGATAGGGTTGGTGGAGGTTTATTCAGCCGAAACTCTCCACCAGAACTATGTTCAGGCTTGCGGAGTTCTACAGTGTTTTTCAGGTGGAAATAGCTGCCATCAAAGAAGCGGTAGACCCACTGCTAAAGGGTGTGATGGTGCACTCGAAATCGGTAAAGGAATGTCTGACCTCTCTATCAATCGCACTTCTTATTAAGGCTAGTTTAGGTGCCGGGTCACAGTGACATCGCCCAAAACTGCGTGGCTGATGACCTGGCATTGGGAAGGCACCCTTAAAACGTTAACTCCAGGTAAGGAGTAACTAGGGACGCCTCTGTCCTCTTACGGTAAACTCATGGATGGTTGGGTCTTGCTCGTTGAGCGCTAGACTAAAACTCATACTTCGTACTCGCGATAATGAAATTGCGTAGGTACTCTACTAAATATTTAATAAAATGAACAAAAGAAAGCGATGATCTTTTTATGAAAAAAAAAGAAAACAAGACGTTTCTCTGCGGCATAAATTGTTTGTATAAGGCAGTTCAAAATACTTTTTGCACCGCAAGATACGAATGAGCCATCGTTACCCCTTCAAGGTGCCGACAAACACGTCAGCTCTGAAGGGCTAGGGGTGGGGTTCTGACTGGCTATTGTGCACTTGCTATTCACGCGGTAATTTCTACTGATCCCTTTTGTATCAGCTGTAAAGAGGAATATGAGGTGGAATCATCTCCACACTTTCTTTTAGACTGTCTAACCTTCACGAGGCTAAGATGGAAGTATCTTAGCTCGCACTTCTTAACTAATACTGAGCTCTCAGGAATCGAAAATAGCCGCATTCGAAATTTGGAGTCGTCGTTCTTTCTTCTGACGGTTAAGGTCTCTGTATGCTAAACTTGCTAAGAGAGAGTTTTTATTTGAGGCCACGAACACCTGTCGACTTAAAGATCGGCTTTCAATAATAAAAGAACATCTTCCATTGGTGTTTCTCACACAAATTTAATTCCTCCTCTGCTTTATGAACCTCTGGGCTTCGTCCGTCAGTTCGTATAGATGCCTTATGAGGCGCCTTGGGTGCTCACGGTCGGTGACACATTTGAGCCTCATCGTGTAGATGATGTTGTGGCGACATCAGAAGGCATTAGGTCGCTGTCCGGAATACCGTGTTTTGTTAGGTCTGCAGCTTCGTCCACTGCGTCCTTCTAGTCCGCGTCAACCACACAGGTACTACATAGTTTAAAACCGGCCAACCAATTGCCTTGTATGTTGCCAACAACGTTTCCTTGTCTTTGTTCCAAATGCTGCCGGATAGCAACTTGGGGACCTTGTTGCGCCGCTCTATTCATTAAAATCCTAATGTACACTGCCCGTTTATTGAAATCTTTGAGCATTAGCCACTCTAAATTACTCCACTTTTCAGGTCAACACAAGTGGCTACTATAGTACATACATATTTATACTACAAAGAGCTGCTTTGATAGGGTAATGCATATGTACTTCCGGCATTGGCTAAGTTTCCTTCCTGTCATCGGTTAACGATGTGAATATATTTGTATATGTGAGTATGAGCAAATAGTAGGATAATTATTGTGGGACATACAAATGTACATATAATAATTCGGCGAATTGACACATCTACAACAAGAGCGCCTGAGCTTTTGATTACAACACCACATACATTGTAACAAGGACATAACTGTTGTTGTTCTAAAAAATCAGGATACTTGCCAAGCATACAAAACAAAGCGATAAAGGCATAAATTATTGAAATCTCACAGGGCAATCACAACGAAAATGCGCACTAACTTTCACGCGCTCTCTCTCTCTCTCTCTCTCTCTCTCGTAGGTACTCTCTATTCCCATTTTAGCAGTGTACTTGAATCCTGAATCCTGTTCCGTATATTTATTTTTCCCACAAATTGTACATACAATCTGCGAATATGTACTTTTGCATATTTGAGAGCTCGTACTCGTATACCCAGCAATAGAGGGTGTGACCGGGTTAAAAGAAAAAAAATTTCATACTAGGTTCGAAGCTCAGAATGTGTGGTTCATGCGTTTCGGCTGCCGTTTGAAATCGACCGTCGGATACAAAGCAAAGTGAATTTGGGGAAAATTTAATTTATTTAATACTAAATGAAAAAGTAATTAAATGTAAATGAAATGAAATCAATTATAAAATGTGTAATTAATGAGTGTGAAAAAACTGTTTGCGAATTGCTGAAAAGTGAGTCTGATATGGAAAATGCTGCGAATGATTTTTCAACTAGCTATACTTATGCGATTATAGTACATAGTTTCTGCTGGCTGTAGTCGCCCTAAGTGCATTTGAGGGCGAAAATTATGTATCCATAAAAGTTTTACGAACGCAAAGTTCAAAATCAAAATTAAATATTAAATAAAATAAACTGAAGTGATTGAAAAAAATATACGAAAATATTGAAAATGAAGACTTTTCGATCAAAAATTGTGCAAAAATTTAGTGAAGCAACTTAAAATATGTATAGCAAAGAGTAAAAAAATTAAATGATGAAAAACAAAATTTGATGATAGTTTAATATACACACATAAGTGAATACATAAACACTTATCGTTAAGTGTAAAAAATTGAATTTAATAGCTAAAAAATAAATTTTTCCAGCTACACAGTTTTTGTGTACTTCAAAAGCTTTCGGGAGCTACAAAATCAAGTTTAAAGTTCATTCTTAAGTATTTGCAGTGCTGCAAAAACTCTTTAATTGCACTTTTTTTATTTTAATTAAATCGTAACAACTTTGAGTCACTCCCTGTCTGCTTGTGTCTGTGGGATATGTTCTAATATTTGTGCATTGCAACGGGATGTTTGTATGTATCTCTGCGGATAATTGTATGTGTTTTTGTTTTTGTGTGCACCAATGGTTAAATCTATAGACAGTGGCTGTGGCAGAGCTCATCCTAACAGCATCCATACGAACAGCGCGCGCGCACACACACACACACCTACACCCACAAATCTACTTGCAATTACTCAACCAGCAAACGTTCCACCATCCCGCACAGGCCGTGTTCGTTCATCACCACCTCCCCGCTCATTACACGGCAAGCTTTGTCCACCAAACACAATACTAGCGCGACTGCCGCAGTCGTTGCCGACATCTTGTAGGCAAGCAGCCAACCCCCTCAAACTCACAACTTGTGTGCGCCATGGCAATGTGCATTTGCCCAGCGACCGTCGCACAGTGGTCAATAAATGGAATTTAATGTTCATAATTCACTGGAGCCTTCATTTCTCAACCGATTTGATTAATTATTTTTTTAAATGAAAGCTAGTTGAGCCCAATTTTCGAATTTCTATTTGTTTGTATTAAATTTTTTAGTGCAAAGTGCAGAAATTGCGCCAATTTTGAAGAAGACCGATTCTCCTCTTCCAGCTAATAAAAGTTTCATAATAAAAACTAGCTAAAAGCAATTGTAGTGTTCTCCTAAAACAAAAAAAAAAGATTAAAAAGTAATAATTTGAAATGTTATAAAAAAATGCTACCAAAAGTATTTTTTTTGTTTTTAGTTTTTATAAAAATTTTGGGTATGCAGTTTTATAGATTACTAAATTTTAGTACAATAAAGTGCAAGTTGCAAGTCGCTAAGAGCTCGCGTTGATTTTTAATAATTTTTTCGCTAACATTTCGAGCACATCTGCATGCCAGATGGGAAATAAAAGCGTTTGTTATGTTATTAAAAATCAACGCGAACTCTTAGCGACTTACAACTTGCACTTTATTACACTAAAATTTAGTAATCTATAAAACTGCATATCCAAAATTTTTATAAAAATTAAAAACAAAAAAAAAAAATACTTTTGGTAAAATTTTTTTATAACATTTCAAATTATTACTTTTTATTTTTTTTTTGTTTTAGGAGAACCCTACAATTGTTTTTAACTAGTTTTTATTATGAAAATTTTATTACCTGGAACAGGAGAATCGGTCTTCTTCAAAATTGGCGCAATTTCTGCACTTTGCATTAAAAAATGTAATACAAACAAATAAAAATTCGAAAATTGGGCTCAACTAGTCTCTTGCAAATTTTATTAGCTTTCATTTAAAAAAATTAATTAATCAAATCGGTTGAGAAATGAAGGCTCCAGTGAATTATGAACATTAAATCCCATTTATTGACCACTGTGCGTCGCGACGTCCGTTGCATTTTACGAGAGTCATATCCTTGTCAGACGCAAGCACGTCCTTATTGATATAAAACTACTCGTACGTAGGCAGACGTAAGGTGTGTTTTGTGTGTGTGTGTGTGTATGAGAGTGGCGACCCGACCCTCGCGCAGTACACAATAGGAAGAGACACTGAAACAGGAACAGCAATAACCGCAGTTATACGCGTTGCACACGAATTCGATGTGGTTGTTGTTGTGACGAACTTAAAAAAAAAAGGATTTTTAATCAATATACTTTATAAGAACACTTGCTTGCTGACTGATATGGCAACCACATGAATATATAACAGGATAACCAGTGGCTCTTGTCGTTACCGTTGTTGGCGTCGTCGTCGTCGTTGTCGTCATCAACGGTAGTCGATGGTGGTGAACGATAGTAATGCTGAGAGAAAGCCACAGGATATACTATACATACGCATATGAGCTGCCGCTAACCGGGAGGCACAGCATATACTACTATGGCAGATAGATGAGATAGAGAGAGAGAGCGAGAGTGTTGGACATATAAACAACTGCTATTTTTCTCCAGAGTCAAAGTTAACTGCATTTCCTGCTCTCAGGAAACTCGAAACAATTGTTTCTTTTGAGAGCACACCTTTAGGGCGAATTCGCCGGCTATTGCGCAAGAATGCATTGTCGGTGTACCAATGCCGAGAGTAAACGTAAACAAACAAATGGGCGCGATAAGGATATATTTACATACCTAAACTTAATACGAGTATTAATACGCTTGATCTCAGGGAAACAGGAGAGAGAGAGAAAGAGACACATTTTTATAGTTTATTAGTTCCTTGAGCTCAGAATTTTTTGCTCACTCCGAGTATTTTTGGCTCAAAAAAATCTTATAGATTCCGGGATAGAAATTGTAAAAACATACATACTTACATACATATATATATATATACATAGTATATGCACAACAGCGAATGTCCTTACGGAGCTTAAAGTACTATAATGAAATTATCCCTTTGCTGATATGTACATATGTATTTGGAACGGATTTATCCACACGAGACTATGTAAACACTCTAAGCGGCAGACAAAATCTAACGGTTCATAGAATATGTACTTACATATGTATATAGAGGACGTGATTAGAAGGGAGTGGATAAAGTAAATTCATAAAATAAACTCATTTTTATATTTAATAAGAGTAACGAACAGACTCTATTTTATTTATATTTAATAATCCCCTTTGTGTGACAACATAAAGGCGCATGCCAAAAATCGGAGGAGAAGCTCGGCCAAACAGTAACATATGTGTAAGCGCCAATCTAAAAAAAAAATCAAGTGTTGTCTATGATTTGCCGTTAGAGTTCAAGAACCGTACAACCCACTCAGTCTACGCTTAAAATCTCTAAGCGAAGTCCCGGCAAGATTTGTAAACTAAGACAGATCTTGTACTGGTTCTACGAAAACCTGCAAAGAAAAGTAATGGCAGACTCTCCCAACGATAAAACTAACAAACAAAATCTTGTTTTCGGTATCTTACTGAGGGATTTACGGGCAATATATCCCCAAGAAGTAGGTTTTTCGAAAGACTATACGCTACAGCTGCATACGTTTACATAGTCAGCAAAATTTTCTAATAACAGAACCCGAGCAACCAAACAATTTATGGGGTTGACCATGAGTTTATTTCAAACCGGAACAGTATCCATTGTTTAGACCAAGGATAGGCATATTGTAGGAGTACATATATATGTACATTAGCGTGGGCCGAAAATCCGCTTTTTTAGAACTTTGATTGGTAATAGCAAAAATATGGTTCACTATGCTCTAAAAACAATCTGTGTGAAATATGAAAATTTTTGGTCAATATCTTAGGCTCGCCCAAGTCCATCAAAGTTCAATATGGCCAAAAAATAAAAATTAATAAATTAATTAATACATTTTTTTACTAAAATTGCAATAATCTTCTAAAGTATTAGTCCTACATAATTAGGTATATGGACCTTTTTTGTAGAGAATCGAAGTTAGCTAAGGAAAAACTTTTTTTAGTACTTGAACTTTGATGGACTTGGGCGAGCCTAGGATATTGACCAAAAACTTTCACAATTCACACAGATATTGCGTTTCTTGATTTTTTGCATACAATTTTTTATTATGTTTTATTATAAAATATTGGGTTTTGTATAGGCTTCGTGGATCTAATGTGCGGAAGTGAATGTAAAAAAAAATTTCTTCAGTTCATGACCAACGTTTCGCTAAATTTCCTTAGCTTCCTCAGAGGCGAAAATCTTTATTAAAAAGAACAACAAAGAACATTAAAAAAAATATGCTACACATAGGCCAGTTTCTATATATATACATTTATTACAAAAGTAGTAAACTTTTAACATTGTATACATACAAAAGACTAAAAAAAACTTCCATATCGTTACCTTAATATAGAAAGAGCCTGTCTCACATCGTCGCTGAAATACACAAAGCCAAAATTCCCTTTTTGATTTATTATGATGCATTTCATAGAATTATAAGTCCGAACATCATTTTAAGCAATAAAAAAATTAGTTAGTTACGGCTTTTTTGCTTTTCTACGTCTATATGAGTTAGGGCATTCCTATATTAAGGAAACGATATGTATACATGTAAAAAACAAAACTTAAAACTTGAACATTAGTAACAGTCGCCTTTGATAATCTTGTCATCAGACACCGTAACAGTTATAACTTTTATTATAAAAATCGCCCTTTAATTTTTTTTTATTTTTATTTAATTAATCCTTAAATAATAGATATTTCTGATTTTTAATTTATAAATCCAATATAACAATTATTTTTGATTTTTAACTAAACAATCTGCAAATAACAGTTATTTTTATAAATTTTTTAAGTCATACATATAAAAGTCATTTGTATAAGTCGTAGTAAACTTTTGTTCACTAACACCTTCTAACGAAAAATTATAATGACTTTTAAACGTATGACTTAAAAAATAAAAGTCGGTGACTAATTTTTATCGATGAATTTTATAAATAAAAGTCTTCAATAACTGTTATCTAGTAGTAGTATCACAGTGCGTAGTTAACTCCGAATCGACAGTTAACTAGAGATTTTCAGTACAAAAATCTGTAGTTAACTCCCGATTCAGAGTTAAGTACGCATTGTGAAATTGGCCCTAAGACATATATTATAAAAATTATTTTGGATTTATTAAATTAATATCAAAAATAATTGTTTTTTTTATTTGCATAAAAATTAAAAAAAAAATCAAATTCTCGTTGGAAAAAGAAATCGATTGGTATGTATTACATAGTTATAGAACATTTCCTTCATAGTGAATTTTTCAATGACAGCGTTCATCAATAACTGTTATGTTCCGGCCCTGCTTGTCATACTGATTTATATTTTCATGAAGTGAAGAAAATTTATTTTTTTTAATCTTTATTTTTGATAAGCCAAAAAAATTAAAAAAAACAGAGATCGTTCCTCTATTTAATAGTAGATTTTTTGCTCTTAGAACGTTTTTTTTGTCACTTACAAGGTTATTCGCGGCGATGCTTCTAATATCTCAAGTCCTGTGCCACCTAGCGACTTAATTCATCTCACATATTGCATTGTCATCGGGTTCAGAGCTACATTTGAGATTTCAAGACTTAAAATTTGATTGGAAGATTTGACCCAAACAAACTAGACATATGCACATTAAAGCTTTTAAAAATGCTGGCTAGTTTTGATCTCTTGTATGATTCTATCACTTTTGTACGTAGCAGTTTTTTAAGATAATTCTAGATTTCTTATCATATCATTTAATTCCTTTTGGGCGAAAGGTTTTGCTTTGTAAATTCTATTCCTTTGAAACCACTGTCACTGCTCAATTCATTGAAGATTTCTTTGAATGTTGGGTCACAGATGAAACAAAATTTTGGAATAGGAACATACTTTGAATGTGGCAAGTGTATTCAAGTCGATTTTAAGCCCGAACAATTGTTTTTGTTTATTTTACGTTACGAAAATTAAAACACTGACCCACTGTCTCAAGTGTTCGCATCACAGTTTTCAAACAATTAGAAGCATCCAAGCTTGAATTGATAATTTTCGTTTTGAAGTATGTAGTAAAAATAAGTACTTTTCATTAAATCTGTCATAGGGTTTCGAAATTTTTTAACTGTGTATTTACCACAAATGTAATTAAATACTTTTGGCTCATTACGTAACTTCTACGAGATGAATACATGCTATTAAAATCAGTTTAGTTATTTATAGAAACTACACGTAGGAAAAATAAATAATTGTTTTTTTGTGTTGTCAAGGCACACTTCTTAAATCGTGGACCTGTGTACAGGGTTGCCACTTTAATAAATTATTACCAAAATTGGTAGAAAAATTGAGTGAGAAATTTTTGTTCATTTTGGTATATTTTTGTTAAAGTATTTTGCTTTAAAGAACAAATAAAACTTTCGTTCCCGCTTTACTTTTTCGTAGTTATCTTAATAAGGTAGATTTCTTTTCATAAGTGTATCCCTATATTTTTTAAATAATTTTCGAACACTTTACTTTTACATACATATAAACCTGGCATACCTTGTTCTAACATAATATTCACAATTATTTTCATGAACAATTTTTTACGTTATTTGTTTATGAAAATATAGTTCATACTGTAATATAAACCATGTAAAGCAAAGTTTCACGCTTTAAATAAAGTTCCCAAAAATTGGAAAAATTTTCAACAAAATTTTCAACTTTTTATTCAGAATTTCCAGAAAATTTTCGAGTATGCAGTTTTTTAGCCCATAAAAAAAATAAATCAACGTAAGTTTTTATAAATGGATATTGTTAAATGAACAAAAACCACAAAAGGCCGGCGTTAATAGAATTAAAAAAATAAACGAAAATTTTTAACTGCACATTGTTATTGGTTATATTAAAAATCCATGGGCTTTAAAATTGCATACCCAAAACTATTCTAAAAATTCAAAGTAAAAAACTCGAAATTTAGACGAAAATATTTCTATATTTCTATTTTTCTAAATGTTTTATTTGGCTCTAATCCTTATTTGTATGGGTTTGGTTAAAGCGGAAACAATATTCTTATACAAACAAAAATAGCAAACACATTTTTACTTGAAAAACATGGTGAATATTAAAAAAAGTCACCAAGGAGTTTTTTGAGTGACTGAATTTGTCTATAATAACTCCATTTGAAATTTCGTTATTGCCTTAAGTTTCATCATTTTCGATTTTGGTTGAAGCAAAACCGAGAAAATGCCATTAATACTTATGATCTCAAATATCATATCTTTAGTTAAATAAAAAGTTTATTAATAAAATTTTTTTAATTAATAAAAATTTTTTATTTTTTTTGAAATAGAACAATATTATAGTTTTTTATTAAAATAACTAAAACAAGTTATTGTTAGACATTTTCCAGATTTGGTAAATTTTTTTTTCAAGTGAATGGTAAGTATTTTTTTCCTCAATGGCAACCCTGCCTATGTAATGCTTTCGACAATTAAAAACTTGGTTGGCCGATTTCATACGAACATGCAAATATGTAAATACCTCGCTGAGGAGGGGAATCAAGCAACATAGCATCACAAAACACTGGTAGCCGGTGACCCCGACAATATAGGCAAATAAACTTGTGTGCTTTTTCACCGAAGGGCATATTTATCTTACGGATTAAGTTTGGTTGCCTGGTTCGTGTCTTACTTTCCCAAATACAAATGTTCGTATATGCTTATGTACAAATTTACGCGTTAGTAGCGTATGCAATGAATCACAGTTACGGGCTTAAGTGGGCTATTTGAAAAGCTACATACATAAGTAGTAAAGTACGAGTAAAATGAATTCTAAGGTGGCCAAGTCGTAGTTGCGAAGATGTAGCATAATATCCTACCTAGTATGTAAGCAGCTGTTTTCTATGTGTAGATAGTAACAATGACGCTTCCTTCCATCATTCATAATGTGCAATTTTGCCGTATTGAAATGCATTGTGGCTGTGTGCGCGTAATCACATTTATGTCAACGAATAATCGAAGGTAATGAGTGTCCCGTGAGTGTCATTAAAAAGTGCACCAATAGCGATGGCAAGGAAGTTGTATGCACCCATGCACCCAAGTCTTCGACTGACACAAGCAGACATGCTCCAAATGTAAAATATGTACTACAAAGGGACGTGCCTCATACACCCACGCACATCCAAGAAAACATGCCACAACTGACGGTTGATGGCTGACTGACAGTCAAGCAAAGCCGACATTTCAAGTACTTCTCGAGATCGTGATCTGTGTTGCTTGTGGCTGTGCTTATTGCACATACATACATACATATTTAACTAGAATTTTGCCTTTGTATTTGCCTCTATTCTTGTTTTGTTGCACACTTGACACACTTCCGGTGCTGTAATAACCCTAAATTTGTGTGTGGGTAATATTGTTGCGCGCAATAATTTAAATATGTATGTGTTTGTGTGCTCCAATTCATTAAAACAAAAGTCATTCTTCTTTTAAATTTTCTTTCTTTTTTTTCGGTTTTTCCTTTTTCGCCCCCAACAATGGCTGCACAGTGTAAAGTGTTTAGATGTGTGGCTTCGTTTCCTTGTGCGAAAGAGGTTCAGCCATTAAATATCACAACACAACCGCACAATCACATCAGTTGCAGCCCCAGCATCAGTATCCAGGATCTAAGTAGCTCTTTGGTGTCATCGTCGGCGCCGAAAGCGTCACCTCTGTTTGCGCAACGAAATCTCCTGCACTGCCACCAAACAAACGTGTTCTCACATACATACGAGTACATATATGCATGAATACTATGTTCAGCAGGGACTTGCTGGTCGTCGTATATTAAGCATCGTCGTCCGTCTTCGAGGTCCTTGTTGTGGCTTAACTTATAAACGGATTTGAAACACACACACACACACACACACACTCACCAAAACGACTAAGAAGTGAGAAGAAAGCGTAACGGAGAAAGCGTTGCGAAAGAGACTTTAAATTAATTGGGGCTTTTGTGTGAAAATGGGTGATTACCATCATGAGTACACGGACCAATATAAGGTGCCGGTTATCGCGAAGCTTCTGCACGCATTGCCGCACTACAACATCACTTTCCACAAAATCAACAGCACATTTCGCCCGAATGATGAAATATATTTGGAGGTGAGTAAATATGTAGATATTCAGCCTTATCCTGAGTTTCGCCCGAAAAAAAAA